GACTGAGTCTGAAGATTCAGGAGCAAGGTTAGCCAACAGTTCTTGTAGATCCCTCTGGATTGATTCGTTGTTCGGGATGATTACAAGACCGCTCCTGGTACGCATAAACAAAAACAACAAAACGTCACGGGCACCAGATAGATAAGAGAGAGACTAGAAAAGCGAAACAAGAAAACACTAAGCCTAAACAAGAAAATGAAACAAAAAGAAATACAAAAACAAGGAATCACAAAAATAAGAGAAACACTGAAAACAAAATGAATAGGCGCACAAAATAAGTCCTAAACCTTCCCCGGCAACGGCGCCATTTGTTGTAGATATTTTTGCCGGAGTAGAATCGAAAGATTCAACACCGGGTCGTTTCTCAAGGAAGGTTAGCCGGATTATTTCGTACGTATATTCAATCACAATAAGAAGAAATTAATTTCCTAAACACTCTAATGCGATGATTTTGATTTTCAATTATCGACTACTAATTCTCAAATAACGCAAACGAACAATTATAAATGACTTAAAACGAGTTACTTATCAGTATGAGAATGCTAGGGAATCCGGGATGATTGCTCTCGAATCAAATGTAAATACCAAGCTAAGACTGTTCAGTTAAATAATTCGATCAACCTACATGTCTAGAGATTAATCCTCAATAACTGTTCGTAACAAGAGGAAAAACATAGACGGTAAATCAAACCAATCAAACAACACATAGGCAATACAATCACGAACAAGCCTACTCTAATCGAGCCTAGATCGATCGACTTCTCCCCTTTCGGTTCTACAAGTCAATTAAATAGGTCAGGATGGTGATCAAGCATCTAACCCTAGGTTTAATTCAACTCGAATAGATTGAACGAAAATCGTAAGCAAAGTAAACACACAAACACGAGTAATCATCCCCTATCCCTAGCTCAAAGATTTAGCCACTCATGTCGAGATGAACACAAAACATTGTATAAATCAAATACTTCAAACTCATAACCAAAATGAGATGAAAGCTTACGATAAATAAAAGTCAAGTGTTGAATCTCAAACAAAAATCCAAATCAACGATGAAATCCCTTGGGTGTCACTCCCAAAATTCTCAAACTAAGCAAAAGATAGGAAGAACAAGTTTTTTCGTCCAAAAGAACAAGAGAGAAATTGAAAGTACAGAATGAATATAAACCCTACGCCCCATCCTATTATGTAGCGAACAGTTTCAACATTTAAGAGATCAGGCGCCGCGGCGCGAGGCTGGACTTCACCGCGGCGCTAGGGAGCGACACGGCGTGGCAGACGCTTTCTCCGCGGCGCGAAGACGATGGCACGGCGCGGCATCTGGGGAAGCCTGGGTTCTCTGTACTCTCGTTAAGGGGGGTCACGGCGCGGAGGGGCTGTGCTGTCGCGGCGTGACGGGCGTAGCGGCGTGGCGACCGAAAGAGGCCGTCTGAAGGCCCGTTAAGGGTGTCACGGCATGGAGATGGGAATGGCGCGGCGCTAAGGGCCTCCGCGGCGTGGAGAATGGAAGCTAGTAGTTGGGAAAAACTGGTGTTCCGAGACATGCACTTTGTAAAACTGGGACAGTTCGACTAAATAAACCTCAAGCATCGAGTCAAGATTCCAGGGATTCCGAACCTGCACACCTCCAAGAACAAGAAAATACCCGAAAAACAGAGAAAACCAATGAATATACGAAAATAACGAAATAATAGCAAAGACACGAAATAAACGATTGCATGACTGAAAATCCTATCGAAAGACCTAAACCGGGGGCTAAAAACCTATAAACCAATAAACAAAAATATAACAAAAATGGGACAAACAGTCGGTGCTCAACAAAGTTCTGAAGGCTTATGGAAACGAATCACTCAATATTATAATGAAATAGCTCATGCTAGAAACTTGATTGAGAGATCTATGGATTCAACGAAATCTCACTTCTATGCTTTTCATGCAGTTTGCCTTAAATTTAATGCATCCATAAACAGGTTTCGGGCTGACCAAAGGAGTGGTGAAAATGATGCTATTGTGTTACAAAATGCATTAACAGAGTGGAATAGTGAAGGGAAAAGAAAAAGAGGCTTCAATTGGCTTCACTGTTGGGAGATTCTGAAAGATAGTCCTAAATTTCAAGGGACTGGTGGAGCAATTCGTGGACGAAAAAAAAATCTAGGACATTAGAGTCGAAAGATCACACTTCTGGATCTGGACAAGATGTGGAGCATGTTGGTGATGACGGTAAAACATACGTGCGTCGCCCCATCTGCTAGAAGGCAGCGAAGACTGCAAAGAGAAAGGTAAAAAGTGGCACAGGGAGTAGTACTGATCAAAGAGCAGAACGTATGTTGGATGCATTTGGACAAATTATGAGTGTGCACGAGAAGCAACAGAATGAGATAAAGAAGTTGGTACGCATAGAGTCGTGGAAGACCTATAGAGAAATGCTAAAGGAAGACACTTCAACTATTACTGAAGAAGAATTAGAAGCTCATTATGGGCTTCTTGCAGAACTGAAAGAGGAATTGGGCCTCAATTAAATTTTACAATGTATTTTAGTTATGTTTCTCGTATTTTGTTTGCAAGAATTTGTACTAGTTTTATGTATTGTAACGTGTTTATTTTTAATGTTTATCATTTTGTATATTTCGTCTACCGTGATCACTGTCTCTATCCAACTGCATTCATTATATTTGAACAAAATAAATGCCCACCAACCAAATTAGTTATGTTTGAAAGACATGTCACGTGGTTCCAACCTACCACTTGTAAAACCTTACCTTTAACATCTCATCTTCTCATTATAAAATGGAGCATTGGTAGATTCAATTAGACACCACCCACCTTCAGCAAACAACATCATTTTTTGCTTTTTCTTTTACTCTTCTTTTCCTCAAGTCTCCCTTTTCTCTTTATTATTTGTAATAAAATGTCTAGACGTACAAATGACCGAGTAGCATATCGTGCGTTCTTGAAAAGTATGCTTGATGATTCTCTCGCAAAAGTTGAATTTGCCTTGATGGAGGCAGCTATTAATGAGTTCCAAGAGGACGGACAAGCTGAAAATTCAACAAGTCGAGAAAGACGAGTAATGCACCGAGATCGTGATGTTGGACACACTCTACTTGTAAGACATTATTTTGCTAATGATATCACGAGGGCTTCTTTCGTCGTAGATTTCGTATGTCTAGACGTTTATTTTCCCGTATTGTTGATTATATTGAAAATCATTCTGATTACTTTAAGAGCAGAGTAGATGCGACTGGTAAAAAATGTTTTACACCTATTCAAAAGTGTACCGCTACTATACGCCAACTGGCATATGGAGCACCTGCCGATCAATGTGATGAATACTTACGCATGTCAGAGCAGACGGCAAATAGAAGTCTCATTGAGTTTTGTCGATGTGTGCGACAAATATTTGCATCCCAATACTTGCGTTCACCAATGATGCTGACATTGAATGGCTACTTGTATTACATGAGGGAAAACATGGTTTTCCAGGAATGCTAGGGAGTCCTGATTGTATGCACTAGGAATGAAAAAATTGTCCAGTGGGTTGGCAGGGCTCATACACTCGAGGGGATCATGGAGTACCCACAATAATTCTTGAAGCTGTAGCCTCACAAGATTTGTGGATCTGGCATGCCTTTTTTGGACTCGCTAGATCACAAAATGATATTAATGTGTTACACGAGTCTCCACTATTCAACGATGTTTTACATGGGTAGCACCGCAGGTAAATTTTACAGTAAATGGAACCCCTTATAAAAAAGGTTACTACTTAATAGATGGTATCTATCCAGAATGGGAAACATTTGTGAAAAGCTTTCAATGTCCAGAGGATCCAAAGAGGAAAAAGTTTAAGCAACAACAAGAGGCTGCAAGAAAAGAAGTTGAACATGCTTTCGGAGTGCTCCAGTCAAGATGGGAAATTGTACGTGGTCCAGCTCGTTTTTGGTACAAAGACGATCTCAGTGAAATAATGTTATTGTGTATTATTTTACATAATATGATAATTGAGGACGAGGGTGAGGAGGCAACCAATTGGTCCAATGAAGATGGTGAACCGCCCATCCAAACACATCAAGGTCATCCAACAAATTTTCGTCCCTACTTGCAAATACGAGCCGAAATGCAAGACATACAGGTTCATCATCAACTTAGGCATGACCTAGTTGAACATATATGGAATGAACCTGATTATTAAGAGTAATATATCCATTATGTATGAAAATTTTAATTTTTATCGCCATGTAATTTTCTAGATGTTATATTATTGTAAGGTTTATGTGTAATCAAATTTTCTTATTATTTTTTCTAATTGTTGTCGGCATGTAATTTTATATATTTTATATTATTGTAAGGTTTGTGTGTAATAAATTTCACTTATTATTATTAGTTTTTAATTTTAATTGTATGTAAAATATATTTATTGTGATATATAATAAATATATCATTGTAAAAATTTATTAGTATTTTTAGTAAATATGAATTAAATTGATATATAAATTAAAGTAAGTGGGAAACATGAAGGGCCCATTAAAAGAAGGTTTGTGAGGTTTGTAAGGTTTATGGTTATTTGAGTTTTTTGATATTGGGAGTGAGAATGAGATATGTAGAGTATTAGGAATGTAAAATGTAAGGTTTATAAACTTTTGTGACTAAAAATGCTTTTAGTGGAATGAATTATTGATCGAAAAAAAAAATATAAAATTCAAAATCTAAATTGCAATTGATGTGATATAAAAAATTATAAAATAATAATTAGTAATGATCAATTAATATATTTTCATTCACAAGATCTCATATGTTTTTACTACCAAACAAAATGNATTTCCCAAAATGTTTTCCACAAAAAAAATATAGACGAGCTGAAGATAACGTCCACCTGTACACTTCCATTAATATGTTCCAAAACTAACCGAAAAACAAAAAAAGAAAACAAAAAAAAGGAAATAAACACATACACATGAACAAAAACTACAGTCCCAGATTCTGTCAAAACTGTGTAGCATAGCTCATCACAGCCAGGCACCCCATCCAGGAAACATATGGCACAATCGATCCGGATCAATTGCATCTTGTATTAATTGTTGAACCTATAAAAGCCGTATTAGTAAGAAAAATGTGCAATTTTCAAGTGGATAAAAAAAAAAAAAAAAAAAACATTCTGGACAAAACTCAGAAGCCCGTATTCTCAGAATACGTTTTTTTAATTAAATTTAAAAAAAAAACGTATTCTCGTAATTGGTTTTAATATTATATATGCAATGTAAAACGTATTCTCAGAATACGAGCATTTGATTTTTGTTCACATATATTTTTTTTTTGTCCAGTTAATTTTTTTCTTTTTCTGTTGGGGTAAAAAAAATCCCCACCTGTAGCATGGCTGCGGAGACCCTGTGCACGTACACACAGGCACAGGCATTGCAGACTCGTCAAAATTTATCTGATTCAGCCCCAAATTGTCCTTCCAAGACTCACTCCCATCACTCCCGAACCCCTGCTCATCTTCCTCCCAATTATTACAAACCGAAGCAGCAGAGTTGCTCCTCTTGCTAGAAGCCCTCTTTGCGCGCTTCCCTCTCCTGTGCTGTTGTGGCTTAGGGCTCTCGTCTACAACTGTTGCTTCTGTGTTGCTGCTGTGGTGCAAGCGGATGGCTTCGTCGCGTTCGTGAATGGCCGCGTTGCGCTCTGCGATGGCCGCGTCACGCTGGTGTAGGGCCATATCGCGCTCCGCAAACGCGCGCTTGCGCTCCTCCAAGGCCATGTTTCTTTCGCGGATGGCCGCATCACGCTCAGCCGTGATGGTTATGAATGTCTTTATGGTTAGGTGGTTGTTGTGCTCCTTTTCCGGTTACGAAAAAAGGGGAACCCGTTAGTCAAGAAATTATTTCTAATTTGATTTGAATTCGGAGAAGTGAAATCGGGAATGACAGATCTGAAGTGATCCCATCTAGAAATAAGAGTGTTGTGTACTTTACCATCAATAAGAATAGTGTTTGATCTAGAAATCCATCACAGAAGTTGAATTCGAATTCCCTGCAGGGGAAACAAATTTATCAGGTATCAGCAAGGACATGCAACAAATTTCTGATCATTTGATACTTTGATTCCAGAATTATATCCTGAATAGATTTTTTTGGAAGATGAATTTATTAATTTTAACTATCCAAGGAAACGGAAAGATTAGAAAGAGAGACAGCAAGTAGAGATAACTGCTCCAGACAGTGGACTACCTTAGGATTGATGTCAAGGTATAACTTATAAATATGCTTTTTTCAAATAAGTTCATATTGCTTCCACTGCAAAAATATATTGTAGGATAATGCAGAGTTCAGTGAAGGCAAAAAAANTTAAAAAAAAAAAAAAGAAAAAAAAGAAAAAAAAAGGATATATCCAACACAGCATGAGCTGGGTATTATCTTCAGAGACAGAGTTTGAATCCTTACTCTTATGCGCAACTGAAGAATTTATAGATCACAGTTATAGAACCAATTATTGGGAGGATCTGACGGGGACTTGAGCTCTTTCTACAATAAACCTGTCATGAATTGTCAAGCACAAATCATACAAGGAATGAATATCATCAAACCAATACAACACATAACTAGCAGTTTCTGATTAAGCACCTCAAGAACACTACATATGTTATAAACCTAACATATAAAAAACAAGAAGGCAAGGATATCTCACAATACCAGATCTTGTGCTGATATAGGTCGATTGAACAATAGTTAGATGGTGTAAATTGAGCATCAAATAGATAAAAGTTCTCTCACTCAATTCTCAAAACTCATCCTCAACTTGGTGCCACCTTATGAAAAGCTCGAGAAAGACTTGTTTATAGTAAAAGGCCAGGTGGTTTAACAGTATATGAAATTTGATACTCTTCTGACATTGACAAATCATCTGGAATCTTATATCTATTGAGTTCGTTAAAGGTGGTTCAGAAAACCAAGTTAGATAAGCCCGGATGCTGAAAAACCATAAGACAAGTCATACAACAGTTAACTGGTCATTGAGCCCTAGCTGCAGTTTACACATTTACTGTAAGAAATACAGGAGTTTCCTATGGAATAACAAGCCTGTACCAACTAACAACCGTTTTTTTCCCAAAATAATTAGTTGTTTGTTCAATTTCTTTCCAAGAATTTATGACTAGATGGCTATCCATCGCCTTAGCAAAGCAAAACAGTTGGATAGACTTCATATTTCACGTAATAGACATAGATTACCAAATAGGCAATGGACAACAGAACTTGTCGTCCAGAAGAAATCAGAGCATACAAAAATGCCAACCAAATGAAAAGGAAAACCGACCCAAGTGCTAATGCAGCTACTTTTCAGCTTAAAAACTGTCTCCTAAGTTCTCTACTTCCTACTAGATCATTTCATTAAAATAGATAGAATGATAACAAAATCCAAAAGCTAAAATAACAAAAAGAGAAACAAAATGAAAAGCTAATACTGCAAGGGTGAAACAAGAATTCCCATCAAACAAATTCTAAGGGTAAGCAATTAAATGTTTATGCACGGCCAAGCTTCTCAAATGTTGCATTGAGCACAACTAATCAGCAGCTACCAGAATTTTCAGGAGCTGAAAACGGGGATCAGGAATTAGGATGAGAGCCTATGCGAATTGCCAAAGGAAAGATCAACCAAATAAAAACTGAATTGAAATGGTGGATCAAAGAATGAGGGCAATAACAAGGATTATCCGACCAGATCGAGACTAGGAGAAAAATGAATCTCAAAAAAGAGAAAGAGCAAGATAAAAGAGAAGACAAACCCATCGCAAAAAATTGGAGCATACCCGACACAGACTTTCCGGCGACGAAATTTTCAGAACACAGAACTGGCCGGTGACTCTCCTCTCTCCTTCCCCCTTTCCTCTTGTCGGAGAGAAGAGAGTTTAGTGTGGTTTTGTCTGTAGGCCGAGTTGCAGGAAATGCAATAATATAAAGTTGCCTCTGCCAAATTGTGCTTTATTTTCTCTTTTTTCTTTTTATTTTTCTTTTCTTTTTGATAATTATTTTTTGGGCTTTTGTTCATGTGACTGTGTGAGGTGAAAATTTGATTAGTCTTTGACGTTTAAGGGGTTGGGCCTTCCTGAGTGGTTCTCCATTCCTTTTGTTTCTTTTTATATTTTTTTGAACAATGGAAGAACTCCAATAAAACAATTAAAAAGAACAAAGTTCGAATACAAAACTGAAAAGACAGAAAAAGGCTTAAAATTTTGAGAGAACCACCTAAAGTGCTAGAAACAACCACCACCAAAGGCTGAAGGCATAATTTAACAAGACCTAGACTTTTAAACCTCAACCAACCGCTGGAAGCATATGAGAACTCTTGCCACTCTTGAACAACAATCTTCACTATTGAGTATTCAGTTATTCAAACCCCTTCAAACACCCAAAGGTTGCGGGCGTTCCAAAACCGCTATAGGATATATGTAGTAAGTTGCATCTTGGCTTCAAAGACCTCAGTTTTGTCCGATGAACAAACTTGCCACCACCAGGTTTTTAAGTTGCATTGGTCTGCCATAAGTCCATCCCAGATGAGAGGTGTCAACTTCCATACTCTCTTTGCCTTGTTACATTTGAAAAACAAGTATTCCACTGTTTCTTCAACCTTTCCACATCTCATGTTAATCACATCTATTACCAGCCCTTTAGCTCTCACATTTATGTGCACTAGAAGGATCCCAGAAAAATACTTCTATATGAAGTGTTTCAACTTCCCTTTAACCCTTATTGTACCTAAAATAATCCAAACACAAAGCTCCCCAACAGACGAAGCCCATCTTTTGGGTTTAATTATGTTTTTATATCCTGAGGCAATTTTCTCCCTTCTAAGTTATCTTTGGACCATACCTGCTTCAAATTTGGGTCAGATCCTGTCAAAATATGTCAATATCTTGACTTCTCCTTCTGATATTTTTTTCGTAGTCTTTTATATGTTAAGGTCTCTTCATGTCAATTAGATTCTGTATAAACATGTCAACTCGTTGAGAAGTCGAACTAGTCACATGTCGTACCATGATCAGGTCGTCGCCGACCTGATCTTATTGAGCAGAGTCGCTACGTGGATGGAGTTAATTAAAGGTTAACCCAATCCAGTCGAGTCGGGGTTATACCAAATAATCAGATATAAATTTTTCATGTGTAAATAATTTACTTTTATTATTTTTATATATGCCCATGAGCAAAATAGGTTGTGTAAACTTAAAACTAATTATGCCGCAATTGTTCCAATGACTTGACAAACAAACCTGTCATCCGGAAGCCCAAGTCATTCTTCAAATCAAATGAAACTTTTAGTGGAACAGAATCTTAAAATGATTGAAATCATGGATCACATAAAGAAAATATCTTTACACATTTTCCATGATATTTTTTTAGGTAATATGGTCGGAAAGAAATTTTATGAAAATATTCATATCACACTTTCACTAACCTTGCGTCCTATGCTAAGGTAAAATCAATTTCACTACGTAAAGAAGCTTAGGTGGAAAATGCTAAATACACGCAACCAGCAAACCAGCAACCGCAAGACGAGTAACTGATGTGGGAACTATTCATGCCATACAATGCCTAAGAAACTAATAAAGGTAGCTCCTTGGACAGGAAATATCACCTAAAGAACCAAGCATGGCACACAAGAAACAACTCAACCTGGTCTCAAAAGAAGAAAGGAAAAAGCAGTAGCAACAACAATAAACAAATAAAGGATGAACTTTCCAATGTCACTCCAACGATCATGGTTTATACTAAACAGTACAAGTGAAACTCAATCAAACAAATCACTGGCTAACAAAACAAAGTGCAAATTTGAACTGCA